TAGAAACAAGTAAACCACATAGTTTAGCTCCATAATTAATAAAAGGGAAAATGAAGTAATAAAATGACTCAATATAAGGATAAAAGAAAAACAATCTACSTAAGAACTTGCAAAGTGAGTGTCTAATACATCAAATTCTCAATGTAATATCAACAATCTAATAAAAAACTAATAGATGCATTTAGTTTAGCTTTAAATATTCTGTATTTGATTGACAATACTGAATTAGTTGTCTATATGGTGTTTTAWACGACTATGACAAGTCTGTGCAATAACAATTTTCTGGTACAAACCATTTTCATAGTAGGCAATACTAACAGTCATTAGGAGGATTTGAACAAATATGACCAATSTAACTGTCTTGGATAGGAACCAATTTCAGTTTTCCGCCATAAATTTCTGGAAGCTGGCTCTCGTCGATCTCTTTCAGCAGTGTAGATTTCACCTTCTTATTTTCAACGAACACGATCTGCAAGGTACATTTAAACTCAATCTTACTCTTCRTGATTTCTTTTCAGGTATATAATATTTACAAACACACACACACACTCTCTTGAACCCTTTACCTCCATGGAGGTTGGGCTCTACCAGTAACCGGTAACCGGGTACCGCTGGTCCAAAATGACCTATTGGTCTATTTGTGAATTTAGGGTGCGTTTGGTATCCAAACTGGATAGGACACCCCAACTATTCAACATTTGCTAAGACATAACTGGACATGACAAAACAAATAAAACGACCAATTTACCCCTAATGAGTTGTTTATATATTTCAATGAATGTATGTAATTTATTAAATTATAATAAAATAAATATTCTTTATAACAAAATATATCATTAGAAAGTTTTCATCAAGAGGATCAAAATGACACCACAATGAAAAGTTCATATAGTTTCCAATTTTTATTTTATACTTTTTTATATTATTTTATATTATTAATATTTAATAAATTTCATAAATTAATCAAAATATAGAATCTGTATATAAATAATATTTTGTGGACAATAAAGTGAAAGTTTAAAAAGCATAAAATACAACAAATATAATTTAAAGAATGACTAAAATGTAAAGGGAGAGACGTATTTGATGTTTTAGAAGAGAATTAAGTTTTATTAAGAGGTTATATTGGTAAAATATAAGTATGTTCCACCTTGTTCCATATAAATGTCCTGCCAAACATGAAACAGTGATCCATGCTCAATTCTGTCTTATCCATGTACCAAACTCACCCTTAGTGTGGCCACCAATTAAGAAATGCATTACAAGCTACTGGTATAAGACACAAACAAGCTTTTACCTTTTTCTTTGTTTCTTCATCAATGAATGGGCTAATAAGCTTCCATATTGCCATAAATACATAAGGTGCATGCACAACAAATAGTTTTTCAAGCCTTTCTGGATAATATTCCTGTCATGAACATCAACTAATGTTTTAGTTCCTGATAGCATCTCCAACAGATTCTCTAAAAATATAGAAAATACAGGTTTTGTTCTCTATATTGCTCCAACAGATTCTTTATATTGTTATCCAAAATAGAGAAAACATGTAAAACTTCATGTTTAGAGAATTCTCTAAAACTTGATGTGAGGAGAGAGAAATGATTTTTTTATTCATTCCCACTAATGAGATTGAATTATTATTATTTTATATAATGTTYTTTTTAAA